CAATAAATAAATAAATAAATAAATAAATAAATAAATGAAAAACACTTTCCTATTAATCCATTAATAAGACAGATATAATACATTAAAAAAAAAGGCAATGCTAAAATCAACATTAAAATTTGGAATAAGTGATCATCTCTTTCTTGAGTTTCCATAGATTAAATGACAAGGCCTTATATCTTTTAGCCACTTGGTTTTCTCTCTCTTCCCCTGAAGGCATCTATACCAGCTCACTATTGGGCTGACTTACTCTCTAGTTCCTTCAGATCTTCCCATTAGGCAGGGGATATACCTCAGTGGCACAGGGCCTGTCTGGCCAGTGTGAGGTCATGAATTGACACCCGGTACCACAAAGGAAAACAGAAAAGCCTCTCATCAGCCCATGACCCATGACTTTCAATATTATCATGTACTTTCCCAGTTAAACGTGCTCCAAGTGACTGTTGACCCTTCTAAACCCATCATCAATACTACCTTTGGCACCTCATACTCAGTCTGTTCTAGTTACAATTATTACGTACTCAGTAAATGTTTTTAAGTTCTCCAACAAAATTATCAGGCAGTGATACTTACCATAACTATTTTCAAGATGTCCCTTAGTACTGTAGGGGAAAAGAATTATAACACCTTCATAAAAATGAAATGGTTGGGCTGGTGAGATGGCTCAGTGGTCTAAAGCACCTACTTAGAACAAGCTTAGCAAAGCACAGGGACCGCGGTTCAATCCCCCAGCACCACATGCCAGCCAGCCCCGCCCCCTGGTGGGCTGAGTTGGCTACACACACACATAAATAAATAAATTTTTAAAAAATGAAATGTTTAAATGACACTCATGATTCATATTCATCCTATACTGTGGCTTACTATAAAACACTTACATTATTATTGTGAAGATATTCAATTGCTCGAAGGATCTGGAAGAGGTATTTTCTAAGTCGTCTACTCTCTAGTCCATGACAATAGTGTTGTAACTCATCTAACACTGTGTGGTCAATAAATTCAAATACCAAGTGAATTTTCTTTTTCTGTTTAAAAACTTCAATCAGAGTGACCAGGTTTTCATGATGAAATTGCTATATAAGAAATAAGATTAAAAAAAAAGATTTCAATAAATTATTTCAATCACAATAATTTATATATAATATCTATATAATTTTGAACAAATATTCTCAGCTTCTTTTCTTCCATGTATTTCAACAAAATGTCCTCGACTGATTTATTTCCTATTTTAAGAATATTTTTAGCCATTTTATGGTCAATATTTATATAGAAGACACTGTGATGTGTTGCTTTCCCTCAAGTTGGCATTAATTTAAATTAAGAAGTGATGTAAACCACTAAGAAGAATATATGCTGTTTATCAATAAAACTTTGAAAAAAAAAAAAAAAAGAAGTGATGTAGGAGGGGGGCTGGGAAGATGGCTCAGTGGAATAAGCGCTTCCTTGGCAAGCACAAGGTCCTGAGTTCAATCCCTGGTTCCGCCAAAAAAAAAAAAGAAAAAAAAGGAAGTGATGTAGGGGCTGGGGAGATGACGCAGTAGAATAAGTGCTTCCCTGGCAAGCGCTTATTCTGCTTAGCCATCTCCCCAGCCCTAACATCTGAAATTTAAAAGGTCCTTATGTTTTTCTAGTTAAATTGATCTGAGGCTTTTTTTTTTCCTGGGTTTTTATTTTTATTTTTTGTGCTGGGGATTCAATCCAGGGCCTTGCACATGCTAAGCAAACCATCTACCACCCAGCTGTGCTTCCACCCCTACAGTCAGTACATTTTCAAATGAGTGTGACCTTCAACACCATCAACACCTATGCGACTTGAACTTACATTAATTATTCTTTAAATTTTGGCCATAACTCTAGAGAGTAAACTATAAGTTCTAGGGGACTTTAAAACCTGTCAGACTACACCAAAAAAACATAAAGTCTTGAAAATCCTCAGATATATGAAATTCCAATTTATAAACATAGGAACTGTACATACATATGCAATTGCATGTAATTTTTGTTCTTTGTTACCATGATTTTTTTTTAATCTTTTATTTAGTACAGGGTCTCAAGATGCAGTTCAGACTTGTAGTGATCCTATCTCAGCCTCCCCAGTAATAGGATTACAGTTGTACACCACGACACTGGGTTTCTGTGGCCTACACGGCATGTGGTACCAGGGATTGAACCTGGGTCCTTGTGTTTGCCAGGCACGCACTTAGACCACCAAGCTATCTCCCTGGCCCCTGTTAAAATGATTTTAAAATATCAAAAGTGGCCATATATCTGCTTAGGAAACTAATCAGGCTTAATGGCCTGTATTGCCCATTGTATCTTTTAACAAAATGACATTATCACATTCAATTTTTTTGGGGGGTGGGGGCAAAACCAGGAATTGAACTCAGGCCATTGCACCTGCCAGGCAAGTTTTTATTCTACTGAGCTATCTCTTCTGCCCTATCACATTCGATTCTGAAATATTTAACAATTTTTTTCACATTATCAATCACAAAAGAACTTTTAAAAACTGGCAAATTATCAATCACATTTATTTGGCTAAGAATTAAGGGGTTTATCTTCAGTATTGGAATGATTAAAAATATATACTTTCACTTCACAAAATTTGCCTTTATTCCAGTGGCAAAATGTCTATTTTTCTTCCTCTCTGTAACTAGAGACTACAAGCCTTGAATCATGACTTTTGGAAGAACATGCCAAAATCCAGTGCCAGATTCCTTTTCTAATTTTGCTCCCAAAGATGCCAGGATGCTACAGCAACAACGTACAGGTAACAGAGAAAAGACTGGCTGCTTTTAGACACTACACTATTCATCTCTCACCCAAGAAAAAATGACTGGCTTCCTGTCTAGTTTTTATTTTAAAGACGGGCTAACACAGTGAAAGGTTAATATGAACTAATGTTATTCGGGCAGTCTCACCCAGGGTCAAGGAATAAGATGCTTTTTCAGATAAATCATGAAAACCCTACAAATCAGACTGGGCATGGTGGCGCGCACTTGTAATCCTAGATCTTGGGAGGCTGAAAACAGGAGAATCACTGTAAGTCCAATAGACTCTGTAGACCCTGTGTTAAACACATAAAAACAAAACAAAACAAAACAAAAAAAAACTAGAAATCTTCTATTCCTCTTCTTTCTGTATTACTAGACAGCTTTTCTACAGATATTCTGTGATTTATTAAATGAAGTTACCTGTCATCTATTTAATGAAATTGGAACTGATAAAGATTTAGTTCAAATTGAGCAATTTTGACTACACTTCTTTTTCTTTGTACTTTAGGGAAGGGTTTACAGTGAGTTCAGGGTCTCACTACTAGATCAGACTTGTAGTGATCTGCCTGTTTTCAGCCTCCCAAGAGCTGGATTACAGGCACGCACCACCACACCCAGTCTCAATTGCCAGCTCAGTGAGCCTCGGCGGGGCAGGGCCAGCACAGCAGGCCTGGGGATTTAACCTGTGGTCCCTGCGTCTGCTTGCATGCGCTTTAATTTGCTGAGCTATTGGGCCAGCACTGGCAATACTTTTAGACTAAGAATGTTAACCCAAGAAATCTCTTACTTGAATTACAATATACTAAATTTAAAAATCTTACAAAAATCCAGTAAGAGTAGTTAAGGTTGGGGTCCGGGGAGATGGCTCAGTGGAATAAGCACTTCCCTGGCAAGCATGAGGGCCTGAGTTCAATCCCCAGTTCCAGAAAAAAAAGGAAAAAAATCAGTTTAAGAGCAACAAGTTAAAGAGCAAGAGATATTACATGCAAGAGTCTCCTAATCAGATTATCACAGTATCACAGTGTGCAAATGCCTCAAAATTATTATGCCTTAGGTCATCAGACGCAGCACTGGTAGCTATCTATCTTCACAACATGCCTTTATTATTTACAAGCAGAGCAGTTCTAACTAGTCACAGATACCTAATGTCAATATACTAACTTTTTATCTAGAAAACAAAACGATCCATGATATCTAATATACATTTACAAAGAAAGCTTTTCTTTTTGAGACAAGGCCTCACTTTGTAGTTTAGGCTGGCCTTAAACTCACTGTGTAACCCAGGCTGGCCTCCAATTCAAGGCTCTTCTGCCTCAGCCTCTTGACTGGGATCACAGGCATGCACCATCATGCCTAGCAAGAATAACCCTTGTGTGACATAAACAAGAACACCTGCTTTCACCACATATAAAACACTTAAGACTACATTGTTAAAATCATAAACCTTGAAGCATCTAGATGGATCTCAATAAATACATATTTCAGGGCCAGGGTGATGGCTTGGTGGAATAAGCACTTCCTTGACAAGCGCAAGGGCCTGAGTTTAATCCCCGGTTCCGCAAAAAATAAAAATAATAAATAAATAAATACATATTTCATTCACTAGTTTTGTATCTAATCATCAAGAACCATTAATGCAGGCCAGGGAGATGGCTCAGTGGAATAAGCACTTCCCTGGCAAGTGCAAGGGCCTGAGTGCGATCCCTGGTTCTGCAAAAAAAAAAAAAAAGAACCATTAATGCTTCTAATGGTGTTTGTAAATAGACTATCATGTCCACATCTTGTACAGCAATTAACCAGTAGGAAGAATGTATGCAATGTGTTAATTATTGAAACTGTCCTACCAATTTGATTTGAAACTCTCATTACTATTTGTTTCTCAATAAAATTATGAAAATAAAATAAAATAAAAATTAAAAAAAGAACCATTAATGCTTCTTCCACACTCAGTTCTTTCCCATAAATTGACCCATCATACTTACAAACAATTCTATCTTCTGCCCTCTCATTTTCCCCCTATTTATAAAAGCCTAGCGGCATCTTTACTTAAATTCCTGTCATCTCAAGTCAACATTTCCAAAACGGAACTACTTTCCAACTGATGTCTTTTTTGGGGCTTTCAGACTTCCATCAGTTGGCACAATCACTGAATTTCAAAGATATGCCTCCTGCCTTTATATATCCTTCTACACTCTTTGGATGTCTTGTTTTACAACAAATTCGTTCTACTTTTGCTGCCATTCACATTCCTACATTCTAGAAAAGGCCCGCGTGACATTTACTACTATTCTAGGATTAAATTCCTAACAGTTTCTTTTTTGCTATTCTACATGATGCTAGATTAATTTTATAGTTCATACTGAATTCAAAATCTTCACTTTCACCTCTCACAAAATCAAATTTTGACTCAGCCTAGGAGGACTTAAAATCTGCCTCCAATTTACTGCACTAACCTTACCTCTTTCCAGTTCTGCACAGAAAACTCTACAGGTAAATCCTTTTTCCCCCCCTGCTTTTGATTTTTGTCCTTTTGTCCTGTGTTAGACTTCCTGAATTCATGCTGTTCTCCTATGCTGAAACTTGGTAGTTCCTCCAACTTCTCTAAATCTTGCATATCCTTTAAAGCTGAAGCCATGGGGCTGGGGAGATAGCTCAGTAGAATAAGTGCCTTCCTGGCAAGCACAAGGTCTGAGTTCAAACCCT